TTTCACAAATTACTAAAGCATGCTTACACCCAGCACAATTGAACAGCTGCCTCTCTTACTGAGAGAGGGAACTAAGCTGCCCTGTCGAGTGAATGTTTTAAAGTGAGTGGGTGGGGTGGAGGATAAATGGGAAATCCTTTTCAGACTTGGATTTTAATCCAAGATGGTGGATACTTTGGGGCTTGTGATACATTCCTGTTCTTTGAGCTGCCAAAGTTTCCTTCTTGGGACAAGCTAGGTAAGCTCCATCAACACCCCTACATTCTTGCCCCACTTGTGGACTTCCAAACAGTTGGCCACTCTCAGACATGAATCTATAAGGTCCAATTCAGCAAGCAAATTCATATATCCTTGTCCTGAATTTTCACACGATGTATATATGTGCTCGGTGTGTACTGATTAGCTATTTAATCCTGGAATACTCCTCTTTGTCACAAGCAGTTGAATGGGAGGCTGCTGGTCCCGCACTGTGTTTTACAGCAAGGCCCTTTGCTACTTTCTGGTGTTTGAATTGTATTTGTTTCGTTGAATACAGAGAGCAGAGTTAGGCCAGCTATGCAACTTGCCACAGTTCATAGAATGGTTAAGAGTCAAGACACACAATGAGTTCTGCTACTATGCATTGTGCCCTCCCCAGGGAGAAAGCAGAACTACACCTTTAAAAATGATTTGGTTGGCTGTGGTATCAGGTGCAAATGGGAATGGATCGTCAACACCCTACTAATCAACTTCTGTTGACTTTTAGAAAAAGAGAGAACAGGTATATCAAAGTTCACCTGTCAAGGATTTAGAATTATGTGAAGCTAGGATGAGTCAAGCTTAATCGCCTACAGAAGGAAAGGAAGGGAATTCATAGTAGTACGAGTAATTTTCATGTCACAGGACTTCTTAAAGGATATATTGTTACTGAGAGGCTATAGAACTTGGCAAGTGAGATATTTTAAAAGGTGCTCAATGTGGTGGCTTGCATTTTGTTGGTTTTGCTCTTTGGTGGAAAAAAGGTGTGTAATTACTAGTAACTATATCTATGTAAGTAAGATATGGGGGAGGGGCTGGTCAACAATGGTCTTTCCAAGTGTGGAGAGCTTGAAGACACGAGATATTGGGTTTATCTATTTATATTTTAGAAATGGATTACAGGGGAGATACAATTACCTCACAAAGGAGGTGAATGTGTTCTCGTCTTTCTGTGAATCCTTTGTCTGCCTTACTTCCCCCTGGTCTGGGGGAGGAGGGCCTTGACTGTGCCTAGTGACGAAACAAAAAGTACATGAAAGATCATGTGAGAGCAAGTATGTGCGGTGTTCAAAAAAGTGATGGGAAATGAAACCTCTGAATGCTTTCTTTTTGCCCTTTACAGCAAATATTTATGCTATCTGCAAGAACCAGCTGCAAGGGGTCTTTGTTTAGGCCAAAGTTTCCCAAACATAGGTCTCCAGCTGTTTTTGTACAGCTCCTATCATCCCTAGCTAGCAGGACCAGTGGTCAGGAATGATGGGAAATGTAGTCCCAAAACAGCTGAAGACCCAAGTTTGGGAAACCCCAGTTTAGGCATTTTTAAGAGGAAACAACCCCCAAGACACTTGCGTTTGCATCATTTAAAGGTGCCAGAATGTAAGCACCACTTAGGAAGGTAAAGCTCCCAATTATTCATTGCAGTTGTGGCTTTATCTGCCCTACACCTAACATCATGTGGGCATGACTAGCTAAAAACAGCTTTCTGAGCAAAAGTAGAACATAATTTAGCCTGCAGGCCAGAAATCCCTCACTCCTGCAGTGGAGTGTTTGATGGGGACTAGGGAGGCCTGAGTTCAAATTTCACAATGTGTTAATGAAAAACAGATCTTGAATGAAAAATAATAGATTTGTTTACTGGGCCCAGGAAAAAACAACAACCCAGCATGTGAACTACATCATGTTGCCACTTTAATGAGGCAAGCTGAGACAGTTGTGTCGGGCACCAAGCACCATTCCTCCCACTTGCTTGCTTCACTGCCTGCACCAGCCATACTCTACCCATCTCTGTCCACCCACCTCGTGAGGCTTTCTGCCTCCCTGTCTCATTCTGAAGAAGGGCCAGAGGTTTTACCATGATTGAGGAAGGGAGGAGAGGAAGACAAAGAGAGAGAGAGTCTGCCGGTACTGATGGCAAATTAGCAATACAGTGGTACCTCTGGTTACGAACTTAATTCGTTCCAGAGGTCCATTCTTAACCTGAAACGGTTCTTAACCTGAGGTACCACTTTAGCTAATGGGGCCTCCCGCTGCCGCTGCGCAATTTTTGTTCTCATCCTGAGGTAAAGTTCTTAACCCAATGTACTACTTCCCAGTTAGCGGAGTCTGTAACCCAAAGTGTTTGTAACCCAAGGTGTTTGTAATCCGAGGTACCACTGTATAAGAAACCAGCACTGCGGTGAGGTAATTTTAGATCCTGGACTTAATGGTTGTATCCATGTGCAGTACACCAGTTGTAAAGCACATGCTTAAGACTACTCTTCTGCCACCCCGCACTTGACCCAGCCTATGATTGCAATGGCCTCTACGTTCCTGATAGATTAGAACCAAAACACCAACAAAAAATAGCATGGCGACTCTGTTAAAAAAAGAAACACTCTGAAAATGAACAATTTCTGTACTTCACACTCGCTTAAACCATAATGTCATCTCCACAACAGGAGTAAAATGGAGTTTGCTGTGTCTCAGGAAAAGAAGTAGGAGAAAAGTGCAATCCGTTATGCCAGCCCTGCATGTTGCTGTGCCCATTCTTCATGCTGGATCACAGAATGAACAAATAACAACTAACTAAATAAAAATAAGAACTTTTGTGAATCAGTTTAGGCCAGTGCTGGCTGGGGCTGATGGGTTCAGTATATCTGTGGGACTTCAGGTTGGGAAAGACTAATTAGAAGTTTACAGCATAATCAAGGTTTTATTCTCCCCGCCCCATCCTTAGAATTGTAGAGTTGAAAGGGTCATCTTGTCCAACCCCCTGCAATGCAGGAATCCTTTTGCCCAATATGGAACTCAAACCCAAGACTCTGAGATTAAGAGTCTCAGGCCAACTGAGATATCAAGAAGTTGTTCCATACATGCTTCACATTTGTGCCTTATGACTGAAAGGTTTTGTATAGTGCTGCTTTTCCACTTTGGCAGTGCCTTAGTTCATGCAAGGTTGTTTGTTGTTGTTGTTGTTGTTGTTGTTGTTGTTGTTGTTGTTGTTGTTTACAAGTCCCTGTCAAAGCCTTCCCACTTACTGAATATCTAGTCTGGCTCTCCTTCTTAGGTGTGCTGTTTCGGCAAACTGTTTTATTTGTGTTTGATGCTCATTTTGCCTGGTCACAGGTTAGTGAAAAACAATTGATTGTTGATAGAAATGGAGCTGAGAAGTATGGCAGAACCACATTGCTGTCTTCTCTTTCCTTGTTGTCAGTAATATATTAGAAGGTAGGGGTGTGTGTGTGTGTGTGTGGTGTGTCCTGCCCTTGCAACCAACACTAAGATTTGTGCAAAAGAATAGTTCTGGACCAGACTCATATTATCCAGGTGTTTTACTCTCTGTGTGGAAGAGCACTTGTCTAAATGGTCTTAAAACATACTGGAATAACTGTTCCCAGCTTGTGTGTTTTGAAAAAGACATCCATTGGAATGTTAATTAAGAAATTATGCAACAGTCCAATGCACAAAGGAAGCTACTTTTTCTCTGACATATTACCGGAAGTGTCACTCCCCCCCCCCCAATTTTTTTCCTGTCAGTTCAGATTCAATTCATTCAATTCCAAATCATCACAATGAAGCATATATTCTCTCTTATTTTCTTTTCATCTATCTAACAACCACTGACATAATAATGAATGTTTACGGCTTTGCTTGAAGCTATATTCTTCATTTCAGAGAGTAAGAGAAAACTATAGACGTAGATCATTCCTGCTACGTGGAAACTTGTCATGCTCCACTAAATATTTAGCTCTTAGTTTTCCTAATATTCTTATTTTCTTGTAAGCTTGATTCTCTTGAAAGACATTTGATGCCTTTTCTCTGTCCCTTACTGAATTTGAACTATTTCCAAATGCAATTACCATCTACAGTCAATTCATTGGTATCTAAGTTAGCTACACACATATTGTTGGCCTCCTAGACAAATATTTTCTGCCTCAGAAAGTTTTCCAATTATCTACACATTTTACCATTTCCTTTTCATGGAAGGTCTTTAAACAAATATTGGGATGCTATTTACCTTTCCTTCTTTTAGGTTGCTTGTGCAATTAAAAGACAGAACTGCAAAAATGCTTCCAAAGCATCTTGAAAAGTTCATTTAAAATCAACATTATAATTTTTTTTAAGCATCAGTGAATAAAATTGAAAATATAATTACTTCACTGACTGCTCCTTCATTATCTCCATGAAACTGATAATGCAGCTTTTTTTTTTTGAGCCATTGAAATTCAAAGCTCATAATTTCCTTACTGTTAACTTAAAAATTCACACGCACCTTGAATTAGTATGTCATGTATAAAGTTGTGTTAGGCATAATATCTAGACTAGTAAATTCGCTGTACAAAGTTCTGCATTCATTTATTCAAGATTACTTTCCTGCATAATTTCCCACAAAAAGGTTAATGTCAACTTTCCCAGTGCTTTGGTATCTTTCATGAGCCAGAAGCAGATGTATCCTGGTGGGGCTGGGAGTGCCTGGAGTGCATGTGACTCGAAACAGCCAAGCATAAGCTGCTGAATGATGCAACAGGCAAACCCACTTTGACTTGAAAGAGAAGATAAATGTAGCACAGTGGACGGTAATGCATACATTAGACAGCAGATCTACACCCAGTTCCTTGTAACAGAGGCAAGTTATAACGAAACATTTGTCATGTTGCTGGTATTTTGAGGTAATAGTTTGTTTCCTTATTCTTCAGTAAATGGGGGTTGACTACTCACAACCATCTGTGTACTGTATATCATTTTATTGATGTATTTTTTTCTCTTTGACTTTCCTTTAACAGAAACCCCTAATAAAATGAATCGCGGTGAAGCAAAACATCTTGCAGATGCTTCAGGGTCTGAAAAGTCAGAAAGAACAACAAAGAGGTCTAAAGTATCCACCATCCGAAGGATATTTGATATGGCGAAACATCGAACAAAGAGGTCTTCTTTTTTCCCAACTGGAGTGAAGGTTTGCCCTCAAGAGTCAGTGAAGCAAATTTTAGCAAGCCACCAAGCTTATTATAGGCTAAGAGGTGAGCATGCCACAATTTGATCTGCTTTCGATATACCACACAATTATTTTTGTAACAAGTACCCATAACCTATTGGCCACATGTTTGCTTTTTCTTGCAAGAAAAGACTTCGAAAGCAACTCTGTAGGCAGTGTTATATCTTTCCTGATATAAGTGGTGCAACACTGCCAGTATATTAAAAATGACCGTGTGAGGTCCCAGTGTTATACTTCAAGGTTTGCTGTGGAGAAGCTGGTGTCAAAATTCTCCTCAGCCATGAAGATCAGTGGATGACCTAAGGCAAGTCAATGAAAGTCAGCCTAGGCCAGCTCACAAGGTTGTCTGATGCTAAAATGAGATAATTTTTAATGTATTTTATGCTGCTCTAATCTCCTTGGAGAGAGAGTGAGGTACAAATGTGACAAACAGTCTATAAGCAACAATTTATACTGAATCAGACAAACAGTCAGCCTGGTCTTGTACTGTCAATTCTGCCTGCATTTCATCTCTTCATAAGTAACCATGTAAACCTGGGGTAAACAAAATGGTGTCCTCAATATGAGCTTGACTACAACTCCCAGAGGATTTCACAGTGGCAGCTAGTTGACTGCTGTGGGATATGGGACTTGATGAGCCCTTAGTCTTCTGATCCAGCAGGGTTCTTGTTGTTTGTTGTTTTCTTAAATTGCAGCTTAATTCTAGAGATGTTGTGTTGAATCAACAGCATTCCAGAGGCAGCTTGCCCTCCACACACACTGAATCCTAGTACAGCCCAATGTGAGCTGTGTCACATGAATTTCTGGATGATGTGTTTTCATTCTAGTAAAAGTAGCACAAGGTAGAAGTAGGATTCTTTCATGCCCTCCTGCATCACTTAGAACTATATTTAACCTAAGGACATCTGGAGATTTGTGCTGCACCAGACCAAAAGAAGGGTGTTGGAGGAAGGTTTTCCAAGACACGCAGGCTTTTGAGGGGCTGTTTATAATGATGTAGCTGCTTTGAATTAAAAGGATCCAGATAACGTACACCTGCAGTCCAAGACAAATTTAATAGTTTAGTGAAGCTGTTTGAGTTTGTCTGCTAAATATGATAAATGTTGTCCCTCTTCTGGAGCATCAGCAAATGCAGAAAAATTGTCATGCAGTTCCACATATTTCTGCATCTCTCATATTTATGTTTTGTGAGTTAAGATGTTCCGCAAGAATGTTTGTAGAACGTATATAATACATTATCTTGAATAATTCATCAGCAGCGGTGCCATAGGTTTTGTCACACATGAGTTTTGCAAATGGGTTAAAAATGATTCATGCATATCAGGAACTTGTGGTGTTTACAGAAAAACTGCAAGCAGATAAATTTTCTGCCATTTATAGAATGGAATAAATCCAACCTAGAACTGTAAAAGTGGGTGACTTCCTATTTGCCCAGAATGCCACCTATTTTCTTCCAGACCTAAATACCGCAAGAGGCAACACTCTTACTACTGTAGAATCACAGGGATAGGAAAAGTATGGTTAACGATTCCCTTTACAGCAAGAGCCTCTCCCCGCATAGTAATTATGCTTAGGAAGAAAACAAAGCCCTCTCACTGGTGCCAAAAGGAACATATTTTTTCTCAGCCTAATTATAGTCCTGGGAGGTATGAGGGATTCCTGTTTGTATTGCTGTGTGTGCTCCTCTTTTTATGCTACGATCCCAACAAAAATCCCATTAAAATCCTGACAAGATGTGGTGTGGGGCAAGGAGAAGGCATGGCTGGGTGTGACCTGCAGGTTGGTGTTCTCTGACTGCAGGATTTCATGCATGCTCTGAATGTTAGTTGGTATCATTAAACAAAAAGTGATTGAGCAGAAGACGTAGTTCATCTGCCAAGGAAGAGTTAAAGCATCAAAGACTGGGAATGTTTAGCATGGTGTGCTGGCATATTTTGGGTATAGCTACTTCAATAGCCTCTGAGGTACTCCTTAGGTAGTGGTTTTACTCAGTGGTGTTTCCCTGTTTGTTGAACAGCCTCCTCAGTGTGATGTTTCTGTCTCCTTTGCTCTTAACATCCGGGAAGTTGAAATAAATTAAAAAATTAAAAAATTGTCTAGTACCACCTTGGAGACCAACTAAGTTTGTTTCGTGTGCATGCACACTCACACAAAAACTTATACCCAGAACAAACTTAGTTGGTCTCTAAGGTGATACAGGACATTTTTTAAATTTTTTTCAATTATGTCAGACCAATATGGCTACCTACCTGAATTCGGGAAGTTGTTTTTTATATTGTTGTATTACCCTTACAAAAAAAGCAGCTACCTAGAATGAACTAATGAGAATGGAAAAGAAAGTTGCACAGTGATTAACCCTTTTATTTCAGCAATTATTGAATTCACCAAGTCACAATGTTTGCTTCCTTGAAGTGACTGTTTTGAGCTTCCTTAGCAATTTCCCACTCAAATCTATGTTGAATTTGGTAGCACCATGGCAACTTTTAGCAATCAATTCAACAACACTTAAATCTTGCATCGCACCAGGTCCTATGCACCATTCAAGTTTCTGTCCATGGATGCCTCTCGTCTGGTTGGTTCCATGGCCAACTGTTTTAGGTTAGTCATTAAGGACACCTAGAAATGTTACCTCTTTTTATCACTGGAACATGGTAATCAAAGTCACTCATCATTACAATATTTCTTCCTACGGCTTCCTCCTTTATTTCACTCTATATCTCAAAATCACTCTGGATGTTTTCAACAGGGGATGATGGTACCTTCCTAGTACTAAATTACTCTTAGGGCCTTGTATTGCCACCTAAGTGATTCTGTGGAGAAGTCCTTTTTGGATTTCTAGTTCATTCGACACTAAAGTAAAGAATGTTGTGGCTCCTAATATGTCCTTTTGGTTTGTATTTGTATCCAGAGATAGCCATGTCCCACTGGCTTTCTCTCCACTTCACCATGTTTCTATTTTGCCCATTATATTGATGCTCTCCTTTAAAATCAAGCACTTCATTGGCTTGCCCATCTTGGCTCAGAAGTCTCTAGCATATAAACACACATACATGGTGCCTCTCTCCAAATTTCTCTAGCATGTGTGTTTTCCTCTATGGCACATTGGCCTTTGTGAATGCCTGTCGTGCCCCTCTGCACTTTCATTGCCTAGTTACTCTAATCAAAAACATTTTCACCCTTATGGATGATTCATCTTCCAGTTGGCTTTTTCCTCCCTTCCAGTATCTTTTTCCTAGGGATCAGTTTGCTTTGCCACCTTTTAAATTTAAGTGCAAGCAGTCTGGTTGCACTCTGGTTCATGTGGAGCCTTTCTAGAGGTCTGGCTTGGCCCAAAATATTTTCCGGGGCCTAATAAATCTAAAACATCCTCCCGACATCTCCATCTCATGCACACATTGAGACTCATCAGCTGTAGATGGCCTCACATGTGGAAGAGGTTGCATTTTAGAGAAATTACCTTGGAAGATTCTGCTTTCTACCTAGCAACTTAAACTTTGCTGCCAAGATCACACAACTACTTTCCCCCATGTCATTGATACCAACATGCCCCATGATCACGATCTCCTCCTGAACTGTACAGGCTATCTAGATGACTTATGAGTTGTGATCTGCAATTTTGCACCAGGCAGGCAAGTCACCATGCAGTCTTGCACACTCATCACAAACCCAGCTATGTTCTGATTTAATCACCCACTGCCAGGAGCCCCTGACCCACTGAAGGAAGTATTATCAACACAAAGGTTATTTATTCAGCCTCCAAGGAATGAGCCCATTCAAAGAGATCAGTTCAAAAGAAGGAATATAGTGACATCTATCATATCACTTTAAACAGAAAGCAGTGGGGAGGGGGACATAGCTCTTATTTTGTGCACACACTTTTGTAGTATTTCTTACCTGTTCCGTTATTTATAATTTACTGTAGTGTTAAGGCTTCTGGTGGCAAAGGCTTCTTTGGTTAGGCAGATGGCTGGTTAATATCTCAGTTGGATTAGTTGATGGCTCATCGATGGGTTATTTATTCACAGTATTTACCACTTTTCAGGCAGACCTCACAAAGCAGTTTACGTAAGATTACTACAACAGTAAGCATTGCTTTTTAAGAAACAGTTGCAACAGAATGGATAAGGCAACTTGTCTGTTTGGAAGAAGCTGTTGCTGCTGCTGCTCCCCTCCCCTCTGGGCAAGATGGTCCTTCGGAGGCCCCCTGTGGTGGCAGTTGGGGGGGGAGGGAGGGAGGGAGAAGAGGCCACAGAGGGATATCAGTGGTGACAGTTCCTCAAGTTTCTTTCTTCTCCCCTCAGGAGAATACTTTATTTATGAATTGCTTCCCATGATACCTTCCAAAGTGATTCACAATATGATCAGAGTTATGTATCTTAAAACGGTTAAAGCAATTGCATATATAAAAAGCAATCATATACAGGCACACATACAACAACAGCAGATACATTGAATCAAATCCAGCATACCAACTTTTGCTACCAATTTAGATACCCAAATACTAATAATGATAATAAAGTTGCATTGATTATTTAGTATGTAAACTAGTCTGTCTCCTAGTATTCAGCGATGGTAGTCTACTGTAAATTTTTGGGTTTATTTGCCTAAATTATGTATTATACTACTTTTCCTAACTATCCAATAGTAAGATACAGATTGCAGCTGCGTGAGCTTATTTTTGTCATCAGTCCCATACTTGAGTTGAGCATTAAATTATGATGCCAACCTGGGCCTTCACCATGCAGGGTGGCAACACCTATGAGCACTTCATGTTGATTATACGAGATGCACAATAATGCTTCTATGTGTGGTGATTCACCACCATATGATTAAAGAACAGCAGTTGTTCTTCCCAATTATGAAGTGTGAGGATATCTCTCTTTATGAGGTTTGTGATAAAAGCTTACAGAATCTTTCTTTCGTTCTTTCTTTCTTTCTTGCATTCATTCTTCCTTGCATTTTCTCTCTCTATGCAATCCTTGCCTATATATTTCTACAAATGGATTTTCAAAAAAATTAGCAAAATTAAATTGCACAGCAATTCTTGATTTTAGACTGCAGTTCTCTTCATGTGTATGGGACTGAGCTTTCTTTTTCAGGACTGTCTTTAAGGTATGGAGGCTTTTATGTCATGAGTTTCATTGCATCTAGAAACTATGCATTTCATATCCAGGTGAATATGGAAAGAACTCCCACAGGCACCTGTTATATTAGAGTTCAAAAAGTAAAATTCCTGACAAAGTTGTTGAGCCCCGAAAATAGTGATTTTAGGCTTTTGGAGCTGTTTCTGCTGCTTTTTCCATCATGTTGCCATACATCTGGGTATTTCCTGGCCAGCCCCAGAGGCACCATGCACCTTGGAAGCTTGTAGCCTGGGCTGCTGCAACAAACAGCTGTGCAAGCTTTTGGTATGCAGAGATGTGAGAGGGCATCAGAGAAGGGAGAGAAGGAAAAAGGGACAGAGGCCAGTGTTGCCCGCGGCAACCCTGACCATCATTCAAGGCACCCTAGGGTGCCATGGCACACTGGTTGAAAAACACTGTTCTGGGGAAAGGCTCTGGCTGCCAGTTTCCTCCTCTTCCTTAGTTTCCATGTTGCTTTTGTAGAGCTCAGCAGGAAGGATGGAGGCATTAGAAGTAAAATTAGTTGGCCATGCTAGTCATTGGCTCTAGCGCCACCTGCTGTTGGCTTCCTGCTTTCTGTCCCACCAGTTCCAATGTATACCAGCCGCTACTGCCATCTTCCTTTGCATCTATACCCTCCATCCATTGTTTGAGGGCAGATATTGTGCTAAAAGCATTGGATCAAGGCCACCATTGATATATCCCCCTCCCCATCAAAAAGGGGGGGGGGAAGAACCAATTGGAATTTGTTTTTGGCTTGTTTTTTCCTCTCAAAAACTCCCCTCAGACAACATACGTTTCGTCTGTGTAGTGCCCAGCTCCCTTTTAAAGCTATTCAAGCTGGTTTGTACGATATGGCAAAAAAACAAAACCTTGTTGCTTTTCTTTGTTAGGAATTAATTAATGGGCTTGTGTAGTCTGACATGCACACATTCATTTATGAACAGCAGGTTGTTAAATATTTGTGTGCACGTTAGTCCTCCTTTTTGGAGCTTTGTATTAATTGCACGAGGCTGCTGACAAAGGCTGAGCAGAGGGGACTCTTGGAACTCTTCCTTGTAGCCATGAGATTTTACCCTACTGTGTGTTTGTTCTGAAGCATCATCCCAGCCTTATTAGTTTTGTGCCTTTGCACATGCTTGCTTTTATTTCCCCAAATGATACAGAAGCCAGCAGTTGTTCCACAGCTGCGATGGCTGTTATTTTCCACCAGTAGCTACAGTTTTGGCATGCGGTTCGGTTAGTTATTCAGCATCGAGAGGGAGCACTTTAACTTTTAACAAATTAGAGCCAATGTACAAAAGAGGAGAGTTGTTTCCATGGGGACTATACATCAAAGCAGGTTTTCTTTTCTTTTTCCTGGAGGGTCATTTGAAACGACAACAAATGAAGCGGGAATATAGATGCATAGGACCACATAATTATACTTCGGACAGTATAACATTTATGAGTCAATAGATTCTGGGGGGGGGAATAAAATGTACACTAGAATTGGCATTATCTATGGCTAGATTATTTCCATCTGTGCCTAGGCAATTCTTTCTGTGGAACAATAGGAGAGTTTTTCCCTTTTACCACAGGATGCTGATCCAGCTTCAGTAGCTTGGTTACTGTTCAAATGTAATGAATGAGAGGGCATGCCCAGAGAAAAACACTTTCCCCCCAAAAAATACACCATTTCAAGAGCATTTTTGTATCATATTGGTAGTCCTACACTGTAAAAGGCTGCAGTAGGAGCCATGAGGATCAGCTGATAAATAACTATGCTTTCAATAAAGTGTGGGTTTTAAAACCCTTTGAAAACCATTTCAGGAATTATCTGGGCATGAATGTGAGGAAAATACTTTACTTCCAATAGGAACCAGCCATAGTCACCTTTCGTTATTGCAGCAGCACTAGGAACTAGTTCTGGTGACTAGCTTTAGATTTTATAGGGTACAGGTATAAAGCACTGTGAAATCCTGGGTTGGAGAATAGTTTTGCAAGGTCTAGAACAGGATATAAAAACTGGATGGGTGTATGTACTCAAATAATGGTTCTGTAGTATTGCCACCAAATATCTAAAAAGCTATTACTTGCCCAATAGCTCGAATCTCTTGTTTATATGATTTGTTGTCACCAATTCACCCCACCTCAATCAGTGCAGCTTTTTGCAAACAGCAGTTTCATCTATCCAAATCTCTGATTATTCAGATGCCAATACATGCGCAACTTGCACTTGCCCTTCAAAGCACTTTCTTTCCCTCAAAGAGTTCTGGGCACCATAGTTTACCCCTCACAGAGTTAGTTTCCAGCAACCCTTAACAAACTACAGTGCCCCGAATTCAAAGGTAGTTAATGTGCTTCAAATGTGCACTAAATATGTCTAGTGTGTACAGAGCCTTGGAGTAGTAGGGGTATAAAACATGTCTCACAGGGAGTTAGAGTTGACATATTTTATTGCAGCAGAAGCCTGTTTGATTGAGGTAGAAAATCAAGAGGAAAGGCATTTCTCATTATTGTACTTGCCAGGGTATTTCCACCTGTCAATGTAACTTTTAAAAGCCACTCTTTGGAGCCTGCTATTTTATTTACTACCATCATACTTAGTGCAATTTTCCTGCCATAGGCCCGGTTCTTCCAACCACACATTGCCGCTTGATCATAACCCCAGCTAAAGGAGCCAACAGTTCAATAACCACCCCATACCCATGATTTTCACTATTGATTAATCTGAAGAAATTAGTGCTTCATGACTGAGTTAACATGTTCACCTCCTAATTACAGCTGAGCAAGCTGCTGTCCTTTCTCTGTGTCTTCCCTTCGGCTGAGACCTCATGATTTTCTGAAACATTTTTTAAAAAATCATTTTGGGGAGAAGGCTGAATAGAACTATAACCACCTAGAATTACAGTCGCAAAAAGGCATATCACTGGGGAAACAAAGTCTATCGTTTGGAGTAAGTGGCTTTACTGTAAGCTTTATTGAACAAATAAATAATTACTTCTGAGTAACTCCCACTTAAGTGAAATGCCCTCCCAATGCATATTTATCAGGCTAATCTTTCTATGCACATCTGGCAAAAACACGACTGTTTTGGAAGACATTTGATTATTTTATTGGCTTTGTGGTTTTATTTCTGTTCCTCTATTACTGTTTTTTGATATATGAATCTTGTGTGTGTGTGTATGTCCATTTTTAGTAGGTATTTTATGGTATTGTGTGACGTTCTTATACTGTAAGCTGCTTTGAACAAATCTGTAAAAAAATGAACAATGAAATAAACATATGAGGACTAGTTCTGACTAAACATACTGATGAGCATACTGCACATTTCTTCCCAAAAGGAAAAGAATGGGTGTAGGGGGGTGGTTTTGCCTAGCTTTGAAGTTGCTAGACAATTCTAAAGAGAGAGGCCACCAGTGGTCCTTTTGCTTCTTAAAAAAGTTAGAACTAGTAAGCGATTGAATGAGCTTCAGAGTTTGGGCAATTTGGGCATTTGTGGAGCAGAGTTCCATGTAACCCAACATTTAGCTGCATATGTGAGACAGACTGAAGCATTAGTAAGGGATCAAACACCTTTAAGTCTCTATACGGGTGCTGTTACTAAATTAAGATTAAAGTTTTTGCCAAGTAAAGTGCAGGCATTCTTATTCTGTTTTCTCAGTCTGCCAAGAAGCTGTATGGGAAGCCTTCCGGATCTTTCTGGATCGGATTCCAGATGCATCAGAATACCAGAATTGGGTCACTGCCTGTCAACGAGACACTTTCTGCATATTTGACATTGGGAAAAATTTCAGTAATTCTCAGGAGCATCTGGAGATAATTCAACGGGTAAGACCTAAAGACTGTGTTTTCTCACACTGAAGAATGTCTCTTTTAAAAGACCAAGGCACATCAAAAAAAGATTTAAAGGGTCCACAGTGGAAAAGAAATGGCATTAGACTGAATCATGGCATTACAGCTTTCCATTTTGTGGTGGAAGAAACTTATAAAACTTTCTCTTTTTAAATCTTTTTGCAGCGAGTAAAACACAGAACCTTCCAGGATAGGTAAGTAAACCAAAATAAGAGTTCTCTCCAGTTGATGTTCCTGCCTTCTGTAAACAAAAATGTAAAAGGTATGTAAGCATTTTGAATGCTATGTACAGTGGTGCCTCGCAAGACGAAATTAATTCATTCCGCGAGTTTTGTCGTCTTGCAATTTTTTTCGTCTTGCGAAGCACGGTGTCAGAAAAGTTTTGGAAAAGCTTCAAAAATCACCAAAGTCTTCAAAATCCTCAAAAAAGGCTACCACACCGCGTGCTATGAGTTGCTCCTCGAAGTCAAGTCGCAACTGTATTAACGGTGTTAAGAAAAAGGAAACAAACTTGCAAGACGTTTCCGTCTTGCGAAGCAAGCCCATAGGGAAAATCGTCTTGCGAAGCAGCTCAAAAAACAAAAAACCCTTTCGTCTTGCGAGTTTTCCGTCTTGCGAGGCATTCGTCTTGCGAGGTACCACTGTACCCGGTAGCTTATGTGTATGACATACATTTATTACACCTGCTACAGTTAAGAAGAGTGTAAAAAATCCTGAGTCTGGTATGTCCATGAATGATTCCCTCTAAAGGGTGAGTGATTCAGAATCACACTCTGTTCATAAATAATTTGATCCACAATCCTATCCAGGAAGATTTGGGCATGAGCTATCTGAGAGAGAGAAAAGAACATGGAGTACTCTTCATTCGTTCATTCTTTCTGATTGCCAAACTCTTTTCTCCTTACAGTCCTCCCCTCCCCCTCACTCCAATCATTCCTCCTCTGGCAATGCCATAGTAATAAGAGGGCATGCTTTGGATGCATAATGTCCCAAAATAAGCCTCTGCATGGCATCTCTAGTTGAAAGATACCAGGTTCCAAACGTAGAGAATTGAGAGAATTAAAAGAATTTGGCAAATGGATGTTTTAGAAAGGGTCAACACCCTAAATTAGAAGAACGTTTAGCTTGTCATAATGCAAGACAAGACCCTCAAAGAAGGAGAACACATAGATTTCCTGACTTTCATCTGTTGTGTGGTAGCCACATGAGGTGCCGTGTCCTGCAGAATATTGGAACAATTCATCAGAAAGGAAAGGAAATACTTTACCTCCGTGAAAATGACCCCTGTGGTTGTTTGTTGTGGCACTTATTTGTTTTATTTACTATTGCTTCCACTACTACTCTTTTGAAATTGGATCAGTTTTGTAGAGGGCAAAAATTAAAGGAACAGCGTGAATGGAGAAAAACTGAGTTATAGGACCAGTTCACGCATTATTTATAGAAAGAAACAAAAGCAGTCTTTTACATTGCCTAAAAAATAACCCTGACAAGAGTTCATTACAAGTGCAAACTGAAGTGAGACTACATTTGGTGCACTTGTATGTGAATTGGTTTTCCCTTCTGAGGCCTTCACATCATTACCTCACCTTACCTTTCTGTGCTTGTTTTCTGTTATACCCTTTTATGACCTTCGCTCCTCCAACTCTATTAGCCTCAACTTTTTGCCCTCTTAGAAGCAGGCACAGCTGGCAATGATGGAGCTGGTTGTCATCCCTCACTGCCCCCTGTGTCTGAGCTCCTTTTCTGACTATGAGAGCAGAACCACCTTTTTATTTCATATCCCTCCTCAGAACCCTCTGGTTTCCTAAGGATTTTGGTATAACCCCTTAATTCTCATCCCCAGCTTTAAGCAAGTCCATGTAATATTAAAAACACGATAACATCAAACATTAAAAACTTCCCTAAACACGGCTGCCTTCAGATGTTTTCTAAAAGTCAGATAGTTGTTTATTTCCTTGACATCTGATGGGAGGGCGTTCCACAGGGCTTTGGATTTCACACTTCTCTGAATTTTGCGCTGTAGCTCTTGGTTTTAAGGACATACACATTTTAAATGTATATTTTAGGATAAAATGGAAGGAACTTGATATCACAGTAAACATTGCTGACAGAACAATCACCTGTTCTGGGGATTTCCCCATGCCCACCTTGAGCCAATTTTGGGAGGGTGGGGGGTAGAGATGAGGGAAAACAAGTTGTGCAAGTCCTTTGTGTAGGACTTCCGCTGATAGGACTCATTAGTTGAATCTCACCCAGTGTATTTAGAAAATTTTACATTGAGATCGAAAATGCATTTAAATGCATTTGTGATAAAGCGTATATATAAATATGAATTTTTGTATGGATTTATTTTTAAAAAAACAGAAACAGGATGCCATTGACTTATGAATAAACAACTTGCAAAATGGACAGAGACCAGAAACAGACTGATTCATTTATGGATAGTGTTGTTGTTGTTGTTGTTGTTGTTGTTACTGTTACTATTGACAGAAATGTTTTAATTATTGGGAGGGTATTTAGAAGCATTTATTCCATTATTTGGGCTGTGTCTATAAAACTAAGGCACCTGCCCAGCCAAAATAAGCAGTTTTAAGTTCCATTGATGTAAGTGCAAAGAAGAGTGAAATAGAAGATTCATTATCCTATTGAAACCAATAGAACTTTAGAGAATACCTTTAGTTGAATCAAGGCCTTAATCTGTATGTCAAAGAGGGAAGAATTCCTGTTCCTTTCATCTTCACTGCATAATTTACAGTGTTCCTTATTTCTTTCTGATAGAAAAGAGGAAATTTCTACAGAGAAAACTAGTGGCAAAAAAATTGAAGAACCTTCTGTTGCTACAGGTAAATTAAAAGATGCCATATGTTTCTATCCATTAACCCTGAGTATTATTGTTACTTGTTGTTCAGAACTCTGAAATATAATGGGTGTCGCAAGTGAAATATGCTAATGGCATATGTTTGGATTATAAGTCTCATATCTTTCCCGTAGCTTTCAGTGCTTAAACCAGAGCGTTTAACTGTGCACTATTCATCTTGTTTCTGCTGTAAAATACTTCTCAGAAAAGCTGCTGCGGTTTGCTAAAAGAAATAATCAGGCAGGAAATTGGCAACACAGAATTTCATCTGGATGGGGTTTGATGGTATGTTGTTGAAGGTAATGCTGTTGTTCGTGCAACTGCATGAATGGCTTTCAAAAACTAAATGGCAGCATTGAAGGGGCCATTTTGGTGTGTGATCCTAGCAGGGATGTAGGAGGTTCAAAACCTTTGCCCCTGCTATGGTTCTAGTCTGTGTTGGGCCCCTCACTCTGTACCTGCTATTTGCATTGAAATAAAACCTTCCACTTGCACCAAAAGTCTTTCTTCTAGTGCAAATAGTAGCTATAGGGCTCCTAATCTGGATTGGGGCTACAGCAGAGGAACAGAGGCTTAAAGCCCCTACAGTCCCACCCCAGTCAAGCTCCTGATCTGAACTGGGGCCCTTATGCCTACTATTTACTTCAAAACATTCTTTACGTAATTGTTAATTGCCTGAATGGTGGCACATGTTGTTTGGCCTTTAAAGGGAAGTTCTAACTCATGGTGAATTCAGTGAGTCTTACTCTTAAATTAGTGTGCGTAATATTGTCACCCCAATCTGTGCCTTTGTTTCTCTTGAATTATATACATCACAAATGGTAAATGTATATTTTAATTCATTGCTTAGGTTCAAATTGGTTCTGTTATTTTGCTAATTCACAATATTTGCTTCTTGGGCAAAGAAAGAGCTCCCACGCCTGTTTTTAACCCCTCTCTACCTTTACTGCACACAGCAGCCCCTACAGGCCCCGTTGTCGATGACACCAAAGTTCCTGTGAAGGTGAGGGCACATTAACATTCCATATCGCTAGCCAATTGCTCTTGGTTTTCTGACTCAGTGACTTGTGTGCCATTAGAGAAAGCCATTAGGTTTTCTCTATATTCACTTCAGTTATGATGTAAATGTTGTATTAGCGTCTCTCCTGTGAGCTAATTGTGAATGATGCTTCCTGCCCACGCTTGTGGAAAATAATGGTCATTTGAAATGGCTTTAAAGCAAAGGTTTCACCCACCAATGTTAATCAAGGCTTTTTGACCTTATTGCATAATCCATTCCCATTACACAAACAGAAGCCTATGCTTTGCTATGAAAGGGTGGGAAAACAGATCAGAGTTTTCTTTTCTAGCTTCTGGGAATGAGGGAAAAGGCACTGAGGAAGCATTGGTCAAAGGAAAAGCCTGCCAGGAATTCATGTAAGGAATACTTTGAAATACTGGCTGGTATACACAAAGTAACCACAAAGCCCTGAGCTGAGCATACCTTGGTCCATTGTATGTTGCCGTCAGGACCATTCCAACTTGCCCATGCCATTCATGCAATCATTCTAGAAACCTGTATGTTTAGGGTCATTAGCAAAGCTGTGTGCATTTTACGATGTGCTCCCCAATAGCCCTTCCATTGTCATAGAGGATGCTACAAATCTTCGGCTGTAGTCTTCAGACTCACCAGAGCATCCTCTGTGCCATTACAAGTTATCATGGGATGCACCTCTCGGATTTTTGCAGCATAGCTGGGCAGTGAGGGAATGAAGTATTGGGATAGATGTTAAGACCCAAGCAAACTGGTGGCTGGCATCAGAACCACTAAGGGCACCCCACTTAACTTATTCTTGGAAAAGTCTCAGCTGAAAATAGCAATGACTGGCACTTCTCCTTGTTGTGATGCTGTTACTGGTTGTATCAATCTAAAACTGGGAGATGTTGCTTCTACAGGGATTTCAGAACATGGTAAAATATAGACATTTGCATGCTGACAGTTTTCTAGGAAGTCGTAACTTATAATCATATTCATGTACACATAAATATTCATGATTTTAGAGATTAGTGCTGTATTTTTAATGCAAAATCAGTTGGTGTATATTCTGTGCCCAGTTATTTTTAAATGACATGTGCATGCATCTTTAAGAAATATCACACAAAATTTCTTTAAAATATAGAACTAAATAATATTAGTGAGTTCTGCGACAAGGTGTTGTAGTGTGGAGTGCTCCTGTTGAAGCATAAGCCAGCCACGCCATTTTCCAGAGTATTCCATTCCCCTTCTCTGTTTTCTTCTTCTTCTTCTTCTTCTTCTTCTTCTTCTTCTTCTTCTTCTTCTTCTTCTTCTTCTTTTTCTTCTTCTTCTTCTTCCTCCTCCTCCTTCCTCTTCTTCCTCTTCTTCTCCCCAGAACCTTTGACTTTTTTCTCCTTTTACTTTGTCTCCTTTCCCAAAGTTTGTGTGTGTGTGTGTGTGTGTGTGTGTGTGCGCGCGTGCGTGCTTCTGCTAACCTCACAGGTTAATACCTCTGTCTTGTGTGTGGATGGTGCGGTTTTGATCGCATAAGATTGGCAGAGAATGAGTTCACTTTTAGTATACAGGATATTGGGTGTTGCCCAAGTAGGATGGCAACTCATTTCCTCTCCTGTTTTTCTCAGGAGCCAAAGCCAGAGGTTCCGAACATAGTCCCTGAACGTCCTGTGGAGCAGATGGTGGAGTTCAGTGTGACCCTCACTGACCAGGAGTATACTCCAGAACTGAGTGATCCTACATCTCCTCAGTACCAGAAACTAGCTGAAAAATTTCAGCTTCAAGTAAGAGCACTCAGTTATTCAATGACAATACAACTTACGCTTGTTTAATTAGAGGGTTGGTTTGGGTTGGGTTTATTTAGTGGGACATTATAGACAGTGATAAATAAGAAATGTGTCTGTTGTCTGTTTTGCTGAGTGTTGATATAGAGTAGTGAAATTATTTAGACTGAAATCTGTGGGAAGCTGCTTAGGTTTGTGTTTCCCAAGTAGTTCAGATTTGCAAGGAAACAATGAAGAGCTCAATCCAGGCAAGTTAAGCGCTTTTAAATCTCATTGATTTGATATGGGAAGGTCTTGTGCTTTCAGCAAATGATAAGCAGCCCCACATTTCAGTGGGGAAGATGCATCAGTCCATGCCAACTGTTCAGTCCACAGTTTTGTACATTTGCATGCCAGGGTCAAATCAATATCAAGATGCCAAGCTAAGTAAAGAGCTTTCTGCCATACAAACTAATTAAACCTTGCTAAAACCCAAGGACTGGTGTTTTTAAAGTACATAGTCACTGTGTCCAAGAACCAGTTTTCCTGATAACCCAGCACCAGAACCAGAACCAGAACCCACATTTCACAGAAACCAGTTGATGTTCTACTACCCTGGACCACGCTAGCTGTCAGGAAGTAGTAACAGTGACGACATTCTGGCCTTATGGTAATTGCTCTTTATATCAGTTGGAACCTCAATTAGTTTAAAAATTCAGTCATTCAAAATAGAGAACACCGCTTGCTCCTAACTCTTACGTCCAACACTGCAAAGGTACCCTGCACAAACTGTGAGCCATTAAGCCAACAGCCATCCATGCAGAGGTGCCAACTTGAATAAAATATTGTGGGGGCCCAGGTAAGCCCTTCCCCGCATAATTGATCAAATGATGCAGTCCACACACACCATTTGAATGGGAATGCCCATCAACCTTGGGGGGGGCAGCCCCCTCAAATACTTTCTAATAGGGGCTGAAGGCCCCATAGCCCCTAGGAGTTGGCTCCTATGCGTCTATGGTTGCCTAGAGATTCAGACTTCCTGTTTTGGTTGCCTACCTGAGACTGCAGGGTTGAAGGGGGAGGTGGTCAAATACCTGACAGGCCCCACAATATGTGATTGGTTGGTTGTGTTCAGGGTTGAATACTTAGGTGTGCACAAATTATATGAACTGTACAGTCTCTGTTGCCATTTATAGACATGGTGGCAGGAGGAACAGTGAGGTGGTGATCATCTCGTGGGGTAGAAATGATGTGACCCTGGAGAACCCCATGTTGACACACATATTTACTTCATCTTTAGATGTATCAGGGAGATCACAAAAGTGATTGTGTCAAGCTGCTGCTTAAAACTCACCAGGGGAGAAGGGGGTTGAGCTGACCCACATTGTGAAAAGATCAATTCTCATGGGGTGGTTCTTCATTATCCCTTAGCCGATGCCTGTTCATGCATTTTGGGAAAATTTGGTTTGGAAGGAGACCTCTAAAAGCCTGTTTAGCCATTTAGATTATGCTGTGTGAACATGATGTGGTGTTTTCCATTGTGAAGCCCAGCCTTTGGAATTCCTTCTTCCTAAATATGACAGGTATTGACCTTTCTTGTATTTTGACATCTGCTAAACCCGGAAGTGTCTGCGGACAGCGCTGGCCCCCGGCCTATAGAGTGAGATGGGTGCACAACCCTAGAGTCTGACAAGACTGGCCCGTACGGGCAGGGGTACCTTTACCTTTACCTTTAAAGACATTTATTTCACCAAGCATTTGCTGATATCTCTCTCTCACTCACACACACACACACACACACCAACCTTCATCTGAGGATCAAAGGTGGTTTGCCATATAAAAACACAAAAATAATTAACATAGTAACAAACAAAACAATACCCTCCCTGTTTAAAAGGCCATATAATATTTAATTAGCCAAAGGCCTGGGAGAGGTGGAATGTTTTCACCTGGCACCTAAAGGTATGCAATAAAGGTGCCAGATCAGTCTCCATGGGGGAGAGCATTCCACAGGAAACCATTGCAGAAAAGGCCCACTCTCATGTTGTCACCCTCTGGACCTCTTGTGAAGGGGGCACACAAAGAAGGGTCTTATGATGATCACAGGGTCTGGATTAGCTGCAGGAGATGTGGTCCTTGAGGTATGGCAAAGCTGAGCCATCTTGAATTGGGCCCAGAAACTAATTGGCAGCCAGTGCAGTCTTGCCCCCGTGAGCAACTTAGCTGCTGAATTCTACACCTGCTGAAATTTATGAGCTGTCTTCAGAGGCAGCCCCACATATAATGCATTGCAGTAATCCAACCTAGAGGTTACCAAAACATAGATGACAGGAGTTAGGCTATTCCTGTCCAGATGGGGCACAACTGGGTCACCAGCCGAAGCTAATGGAAGGCACTCTCTGACACCAAGGCCACCTGAGCAATTAATCTAGAAATACCCTAAAACTATGTACCATCTCCTTCAGAGAATGTATAGCCCCATCAAGAACAGGCCACCTCTCATCCATCAAGTCTAGGAAACCACTTGGTGCCTCGGTCTTATCTGGATTGAGCTTCAGTTTGTTGGCTCTCATCCAGTTCGTTACTGAGGCAAGATAATGTCCCGGCACACTCACAGTCCCCCTTGCAGATGTAGCCTTCAGTGATGTGTTTTCTATTTTTTTCTGATGTGGATTGCTGTATTTAATTTACTACTGTTTTAATATTTTCTGTAAACTGCCCTGAGATTTGATAATGAAAGGTGGCATATGAATATTTTAAATGTTGTTGTTTAGTCGTTTAGTCATGTTCGTGACCCCATGGACCAGAGCACGCCAGGCACTCCTGTCTTCCATTGCCTCCTGCAGTTTGGTCAGGCTCATGTTGGTAGCTTTGAGAACACTGTCCAACCATCTCATCCTCTGTTGCCCCCTTATCCTTGTGCCCTCAATCTTTCCCAACATCAGGGTCTTTTCCAGGGAGTCTTCTCTTCCCATGATGGGACCAAAGTATTGGAGCCTCAGCTTCAGGATCTGTCCTTCCAGTGAGCACTCAGGGCTGATTTCCTTCAGAATGGATAGGTTTGATCTTCTTGCAGTCCATGGGACCCTCAAGAGTCTCCTCCAGCACCATTATTTAATATTTTAAATAAATAGACAAAATAATAGAACTATATGTGCTTATAAAAAAAAAAGCAAACAAACCAACTTAACAGGAAGACGCTTCTAGCTCAAATCCTCTGGGCATGTTCCAAGATGGTACAGGCCTATGAGAGGCCTATACTACTGTGCTGCACTCCTTCTCCTCAGGTGGTTTAAGCATCTGTTCCCCCGTTGCCAGCATCCCCTCAGCAGCATAAGACAGACTATAGAGTTACCCAGTCAGCAGAGAGCATTAGTCGTACTACACACCATTAGGAAAAGTCATTTGAGCCTCATCAGGAATTAATGGACAGTACTTTGTAGCGATTTCATTTCAACAATAAACCTAATGAGCAATCTAAATACGAATGTTGAATGAAATTAGCCACTGTTGTCTGAACTACTTTTCAAAGGAAGCTGCCAGGGGACCCAAAATCACACATTCTCCTCTATTCATTTGGGCATTATCCCATTTCCTCTGAGTTAGAGGAGAGATGGCATGTTTATATCATTACTAAGGCTAATTGCATGCTTCATTAGCTATTTAATAGCCAGCAATTAATGATCTGAAGGTTGCTTAGTTGAAAGTTAAGCAAAAGTCAGTATGGCAAGTGAAGAGGGAGGTGTTGCGGGAATGCTGCTTTGGGATATTCACTTTGCCTTTTGAATTCTTAAATCCTTTGCAAATGCAGTGCTTATTCAAAGTGCGTTGAAAAAAACTTCAAATAACCTCTTCCTAGAATGTAACACACTTTTTTAATGCAAAGTTGTGGGTAAACTTTCCACATTGTAAAACACCCTACTGAGATCTGAGAACTAATAAGCTGACAGGCCAACAGCTTTTAAACAAGTTTTGAGAGAGGTGTATGAATAATAACGGTGAAAGTGTGTTTGCATGTATCTATCAATCTATAATTTCAGTCCAAATGTATATGTATTGACTGAAATTGCCACTGACTGCTTTGAAGGGCCTGCAGCTTTGTTCTCGAGATGAAGTATTCATCAATGAAATTGTTCACAGCTCTGTCTTTCATGCCTAGACTCATTGGCCTCCTCCAGAAAGAAAATCTAAGAATGCAGTGGGCGATGCTAACCAAATACAATGCTCTCAGTTCTCTAGCTTTTGATGCAAAATGGATAGCGACAGATCTCATTATTCACGGCAAGGTCTGTAGCTACCCTGCCACCACTTCCATGACAAAGAGGGGGAAATTAACTGACATGTTCGCTGCATTGCCATTGCAGCACATATTCCAAGAATAAGGGGGTACCTCTTTTGACTGTTGAACAAAACAGTGGTTCTCTTGCCCACTTGGCAGATAGGGTGCTCCCTTTCCCCTGATCCAGCCCATCATGAGAAGGAGAGGAATGGCCATGCATGGACAGAACATCTAAGTACAACCACTGTTCTTAAGTCAAAATTGCACAGTTGGGTATTGTATTTTTCCAGGAGGTTGACCGAGTGTTTTTTGACCTTCATTTTTGGATTACATACACTTAGGCAGTATTGGGATGTGTGGGGTAATTGAAGGAGAGGCAGGTGTGCCAGGTCAATGGGGAGTGCACTTGCTGTCCTCCATGTGATGGACCAGGTCAGGGGAGTGGTTTCATCCAATCCAGCTCAAAGACAGCCAGCACCTCTGGTAAGTTACCATTTGATCATCAGTCTGTGTTCCTGATGGTCAGTAATCCTGAAGGTCTATTTATGGTGGACTATAAATACAAAAAAGAAGATGATTGGGCATGTATAGTATATGTACCACAGTGTTTAACACAAAATATTAACCAAGAAATGGCAACCAAGAGAATAATAATAATAATAATAATAATAATAATAATAATAATAATGGCCCATAATCAATCTAAGCTTCCCATGGGAAAATGAAGCTTAGCAAATGTTTACTTTACTTGCTTCAGTATGGGAGGATTCTTTCGGATAGCCATAAAGTTATTAACTTATACCCGAAAAGCCTTCTGTGATTTGTGTTTTCAAGATCCTGTAGTATGTTTGTAAAGAGCTCCCGCTGTAGTACTGGTTTTGCTTGAAAAGAGAAGCACTATTTATATACTCTTTTTATTTCCACAACTTATATACACTGTAGTCTCTAGGTCAATAAAGATACAAAAGAAATAAGTTAGATAAAATAGGTTACAATTAACCACAACATCAGAAAAGCTTACAGTCGTACCTCCACTTACGTATCCCTCCGCTTATGTAAACTTCGGGATACGTAAGCCGCAAACCCAGAAGTCTATTTCCGGGTTTTTGCCACACGCACATGTGCAGAAGCGCTCTACCACCACACGTGTGTGCGCAGAAGCGGTCCCTCCAGTTGCAGAAACCTGGGGATCCAACCAGAGTTCCAGAATGGATCCCGTCTGCAACTAGAGGTACCACTGTACTTTAAATACCTGCTGAAATAAAAAGGTCTTCTCCAAGTGCCAGAAGTTCAAAAGGGAGGAGACCTCTCTCAGCCAGGAGGAAGGTCCACAGAGTCCACAGAGTTTAGGTATTGAATGGGTACCTCAAGATCAGGCATTCAAGATACCCAGCTAAGAAGCTAGTGCCAACTTACCTGGAACACAAATATGCAGTCACATGTGGGGTAAATAGAATAAAATAAATAAGAAAGGAGTATTGCAAAGGCAGCCTCATTGTCATCAAGCTCCTTCCGAGGTCCACATTGGAGCAGGGAACTCACGGCCAGTCCTCAGAGCCCTACTCCTCTTCTTTGATGTTAATGTTGGTCACTTGCCCTCACCTAGCTTTCAAGGGCAAGAATATGGAAGAGCGCCCACTGCATGCTTTGCCCTCTGTGCAGCAGTAGTGTGCATTTGGCCCAGAAGGAGAGTGGAAGACAATGGGCTGTGTTGAGCGTAGCAAGGAATCTGGCCGACTCAATAAGGGAGGGCACTGAGGGCATGTTCCACAAAAGAGTGATGTCAGAAAGGCAACGTAGCCATTCTCTGTCATTGTTCCCTCCTCCCCATTACTGTCAGCACAGCTTTGACACAACCTGATCTACTGAAACAAAGTACCTAATAATTTTTCTGTCATTTGTATTATGCACAGTATCATCCAAGGGCTAATTAGGTAGCAACAGCAATAGCCGCTTCCTGAGCAAGTGGGCTAGGATGGATCATTAGGCTGCATTATAAGCCGGTGGATTTAGGAGAAGGCCATTAGATTGGTTGGCTCACTTGGGTGGGCTTTTATTTCTCTGCATCATCCATGTATGAGGTTCAGCCTTTATCTCCTGCATCCCACTTTATAGTGTCTCCATATATACCCATCACTTAGTCACTGGAAATAAACTGCCTTATGTCATTTATCAGGTGTAGGAAGTGATTGTGGAAGCCTTTTCTAATGATGATTTGTGGATGTAGGAAGTTGGTCATTCATGAACTAAAGAAATGTTTTGCTTCAAACCTGTGGTTAAATTCTTTTATGGGATTTAACTGCCACAAGTGCAGGGAGAGGTGGGACACAAGTATTATAAATGAATGCCAGGAAGGCACACCCACCCACTGCCTACTGTTAGGTGGTGTGAAACAACGACCCGGGTAAAAGATTCTTGGCAGTGGAGGGGTGTTGGGAGGACCAAACAGCATGCGCCATGTATCCTGCACACACACCCCGGCTAGCCTTTGGCTTCTCAGTGTTCTGCCAGCAGTGGTGAAATCAGATTTCATTGTCATTCCAGTAAATGGGGAGAGGACACCCTATTGCCCATTGCCTCTGGCAGCAAAATGCCGTGATCTTAGGTCTCAAAGCTTAGGTCATACAGTTTCCCAGCTTATATCACGACGTAGTAACCAACTTAGATTTATTACCAAGTGTACTCTAAACAGCTGTACCTAAACCAGGCTCCCTTATAAAGTGAGCCACCATGATGCATTTGTTTGCAAACACATGTTCCTACCTTGTTCACTTTATGTTTTAAGGATGCATCAAAAACCATAAAGTGACTGAAGAGGTTGATAGTGGAGTTTGGTGTTCTGCACATGCTGAGAGGAAGTCGAACTGTCATATTGCTTCATGTAAACTGGAGCAAATCCTGGCCCTGGAAACCAAGGCCCTGGGCTTAAACAATGCCCTCTGTAACCTTATTGCAATCACCAATACAAATAATGCATACAGGCTCACTAGGTGAGAAAAGCTGCAACGTTGCAGGGCTTTGTCCATTAATCTAAACAGTATCTCAGCATGTCCAAGTTAAAATGCTTAATTAAGGTCTCCACTAACCATGCAACGAAAGCAAATTCCCCAATGGTCTTTCTAAATTCCAAAGTTCTGTTTTACAAATGCTAGAATAGGCTCTGCTGGGAGTAAATGCTTATTTAGCTAACATCTGTTAGTTCCCCTGACAGAAGAATGAACATATAATTAACTTTTTTCCCTCTCTGTTTAATAGATGCAAAAGATATTTGAGAAACTTGCAGGATTCAAAGAAATCCGTGTATTAGGATTTAGGTAAGTGATAACGTTATTCACTTTCTAGTTAGGGGTAAGTGTTCCCTTCTCACTAAGGAAGCAAATAAGGCATTTTATTCTAGGAAACATTTTGTTGTACATTAGCATTTCAGAATCTTCTAATCAGTTTTCTCTGTGATCTGTAGCTTTGTTCTGTGTTTATTTGGCTTTGGGGAATTTTTCTGAATGTTGCTGTGTGTCCTTTTATTATTCTCTGGGGACCAGATTCAATTCATCCATTCTGCTAGCAGAAGCCAGTGCAAGGACTCCTGCTAGCACAATGGGACTCTCCCCCAGTTCCCCCCCCCTCCATGCCTCTCCCTCTGGAGAAGCCCTGGGACAGCAGACCGGGGGGCGGGGTTGATGGAGAGAAGGGGAGATGGTTCTGATGGGGAGCAGAAATGCTTGCACTGATGGAACAATCTCCTCTATGTAAACAGTTTAGCGATTTATTTTTTAAGTGGTATATTTTTTAGTGATTTCCATCAGTTTTGAAGGCCGGTAGAGAGGTTAGTTTAGACAAAAGTATTTCTAAATTGGCACTTCAAGACAGTGTGAGACTGTAGACCCTGCCAATACCTCTTCCTCTGTCACCTCCATTCTCTCCTCTATCTGTTGCTCCATCTTCCCAAAAGCAATAGGCAGGAAGCTCCAAATTGTAGGTGCCACCATACTATAAGATCAAAGGGAACATGCAGTGTTTTCTTACATACAGCAGAAAAGAAAGTCCCTGGGAATATTAGGTTATTACTCACGTTCTTAACAACCCACATAAGTTGTCCCACAATTACAGGTTTGTTTGCAGCGCGCTAAAATTTTCAGGGATCCCAAGGGGCAGCAAGGGCTCATGTGGTGGTGCAGACAGTGATTCTACTTGGGTGGAGGCTGACATGTGAGGAAGCCTCAGCAGAACTAGGTCAACATCCTATTCAAGCACGAGTAATGCAGGAGGTTGGCCTCTATTATTGTCTCCATCTTTATGCATTTAGGTTTTCAGGTTTTGTTTTTTTATACATCCTAGTTAATTCATGACTATGGTGAGATTTCAGTTGGGGACATCCCAGCTTGTGCTCTTCGCCACTACAGTACTGTCTACCTGTGATGCTGTAGGTGATGTTAGTTTACAACTCCCATCAGTCCTGAGGATGCGCCAGGCTGGCTGGGGCTCGTGAAGTCCAACAACTTTTGGGGGACTACAGGTTCCCCACCCCATTCTACCATAACATCCATCTAGACCAGCGGTTCTCAACCTGTGGGTCCCCAGATGTTATTGGACTACAACTCCAATCATCCTTGAGCTCTGGCCTTCTAGCTAGGAATGATGGGAGTTGTAGTCCAATAACATCTGGGGACCCACAGGTTGAGAACCGCTGATCTAGACCCTTTCCATGCCTTGAAGAAAGCTTTCTATCATTCCCCCCCAGGTGCTGATGTTTTTATCAATATGATACTAATGTGTTATCCCACACCTACATTTTGACCAGATGCGGGGAACCTCTGGCTTCAAATGTTGTTGAACAACAACTCCCTACACCCCTGGCTATTAGTCATGCTTGCTAGGGCTGATGGGAGTTGTACTTAATAATAATAATAATATTGTTATACCCTGCCCATCTGGTTGGGTTTCCAGGAGAGACAAATATTTTTGACAAAACTTCACAGCACATCACCACCAGAAATAAAGATCAGTTACACAAGGATTAAAGATATCCTGCTGCATATGGAAAAGAAGCCTCCATATATATCATTCACTTAGCTGGCAAATTTAATATATAAATGTTGGGAGATAGCTAGTTTAGAACCTGGACCTACACAAAGATTCTTTCTATTTACCTCTGAACATTTAGCAGTGCTAGAAATGGAGTCTTGACTTTCATGGTTACCTCTGAGAGAAAAACTAGTCTTTGTTTTGGTGCCTTCCCTTCTTGTACATCTCAAGCTAGGAGAAAGAAAGCTGTTCTGGGAGAGCCACATGGGTGTGCGGGGGCAGCTAAGGAGCTCCATATTTGGCATGGAAGATATGTCAGACAAAGAGAGGACAGTATTACAAAGTGTCATGGCAGGACATGGCCTCAAGAAGTGTGCATAGTCAGAATGATAATTAGGTCAGGTTACTGAGGCCCGGATTTGGACAAGAGCCAAACAAAGTCAATCCCAGCTTCTTCGTTGCCACGGGAAAGGTACAGATTAGCACCCGATGAATTGCAATTAGTGACCTCTGGGGAGGGGAGGGGAAATGGATGGAAAGAGAGGGGAAAGCGGAAGAGCTTTCTTTTACTCCAAGAAGGGAAAGAGAAAAGGAGCACTCACGTTTTGTGAAGAAAGGAATTTTAATGATGGAAATCACTTGCCCTGGCAAATAACAAAGAGGAAAGATGCAGAGTATATGACTAACCACAAGTTAATATGTTTGTATGCTTTCATGTTCTTCTTTCTTTTCCTTTGAAATATTTCCATCTGTCCTGCCTTCGTGTGCTGGAACTGAAGACAGAAGAAGGAAAAAGATGGGTAATTTCCCCACACTTTTTTTATATAAAAAAACAACAGCACATGATATGACATGCATAGTAATGTCAACGTGAAATTACCTAGTTTTAAGATACAGAATCTGGAAGAAACATGTAGGCTTGGCTGACTTTAGGCCACTTTAGCCTAAGCCATTATGCAGCATAGGCAGACAAAGACTGATGCGAACAGCAGAAAGTTCCTCCATCTACAAAATAAAATAGACAAGGGAAATGTTTTTGCTTTTCTGTTCTGCTGAGAAGACCAGATTCCCTCTCCCCACCCCCCTCTCGATAGGGTCATCATCCTATCACAGAGCTACTGTAACCGCCACCTTGTGTGTAGGAGTAGGAAGCGATAGTGCTAGCACAGTAAATTAAATGCATTTATACATGGCTTTAGAAAATGATAAGAAGCAAACTTATTCTCAGGCTCTCTTTATGTATCTTTGAAGTGCTGATGGAAGGTCAGTTATCATCTGACTCACAATGGGAAGTTGTTTGAGGTGTAGGTTTTTCGGAACCCCTTAGGTGCCTACCAAGTAACTATTGATTTTCAATGTATGATACAAGTCTAAAATATTTTTGAAACCTATTCCCCACCCCACCCTGCCATTGAGGAGATTTGCCACAGAGTAGAATATGGAAAGCACAATTTAGTGTCTCCCCCTCCCTTCAGATGTTTGCCATTGCAGAGCAGTTTTAAGCAAGTTGAGTCCATAACTATTTGTTGTTCCTTTTCCCATTCAGAAAAGTGAAGATTGATATCCTGATCCTAAACATTTGTACTGTTAATTGTCTGTGAGGTTGATGTAACATTATTGAAGCACTGACATGATGACACTTGCAGTGTGGTGTAGTGGTTAAGAGCGGTGGACTCGTAATCTGGGGAACCGGGTTCGCATCTCCGCTCCTCCACATGCAGCTGCTGGGTGACCTTGGGCTAGTCACACTTCTCTCAGCCCCACTCACCTCACAGAGTTTTTGTTGGGGGGGGGAGGGAAAGGAGATTGTTAGCCGCTTTTGAGACTCTTCAGGTAGTGATAAAGCGGGATATAAAATCCAAACTCTTCTTCTTCTTTCCTTAAGGAGTCATGTTCCCTTATCCTGGAATCCTTTATCCTAGAACAAACCAGCTCTTTCAGGTCTGCTTGTGATTACTCAGAGGTGAAGAAAAGGCACATTAATCTGCTTCATATGACGTATTAAATTATAGTCAAATTTGCTGTGGTTTAATATGAATGACACTTTACTCCTCCCCCACTTCTGCTGCACTGCCAAGGAACAAACCATGATCTGACTTGTCAGGCCACCTGAGCTTGGTCTCATGATTTATTTCCCCCAAACAAACCATGAGTGGCAAACTAAGAACAAACCTTGGCTTCCGCTTGTGGTTTGTTCAGAGAGAAACAAACCACAAGTCCAGGTTTGGACAACAAGGCAAGCCATACCATGGTTTGTTTCCTAGCAGGAGCAAGGGAAGAGTGAAGCACTGCTTGTTCACATTAAATTGTGGTTTATTTTAACTATGGTTTAGTGCGGCATGTGAACCAGGCCTCTGAGTACATAGTCACTCCTTTTTTATTTGATGTGACTCCTAACACATAACAGGTCTTTTATGGCACTTTTATTTATGTGCACTGTTCCTCCTAAGCATTCATGTACTGTTCCAGCAAGAAGGGTAGAAATACAACTGCTTTTGATTGACTGTTCAGCAACTACTCCTAGGGACTTACCCAATTAGTGCTATAGTCAACGTTACCTTTAGTACACAGCATGATATGGTTGCCACAGGTACTGAATGTGGGAGGCTGCCTTGTTGTCTGGAATGTGCCTTTTTGCTGGGATCTGATAACACCAAATTATAGGAGTTGAGGTGACCTAGCACTGGAAGGGCTATGTTTTTTTATGCTACATGCATGTGCACACAAACCTATATCATCATATAGTGAGTTATAACTTACATGAACACTTCTGCACTTGACAGATTAGGAACGCAGGAACATAGAAAAGTGCCTTTTACTGAGAAGTCAGGCCATTGGCTATCTACTTCAGCATTGTGAATGCTGATTGGCAGTAGCTCTCCAGGGTTTCCCTACCGTACCTGGAGATGCTGCAAACAGAATCTGGAACCTTCCATATGCAAATAATATGCTCTAGTCTAGCAGTCACCTACAACCCTTCCTTATAGGTTCAAACAGGGAGTGTCCAGGCTCCAACTATGTCTTTTAAACATTTTAAACTGCTTAGAAAAGGCACCTTACCCCCATGGGTTGAGTGGGATTATTTTTATCCAGCACTAGTTATATAATAAGTGCTGTTCAGTAGCTGCCCATGCCATGTGTGCCACCCTGCAGTACAATTAGAAAAGCAAGGGATGCGCTTGGAGAAGAATATTGCTATTTGAATGCTGAGGAAATGTTGTCATTCTGTTTAGGAGATACTGGTTAGAAAGGCATCTGGTTTTCCATGCAAGTGAGAAGCAAAGTTCATTTATTATGCTAAATGGGATTTTAAGCATCTCCACCTTCACAGACACCTACCTGCATACCTCAATCCAAACTAGGAAGGATGGGAAATCTAGTTTTTAAATTTTGCATCATTAATTGTGTTGCATTGTGGATTAAATGTTATTTTCCCTTGCTGATATTTTAATGTGTTGGTTGCCTGGAGAAGGCATTTCAATAATTTAGCCAAGTTGACCTTTACATGACTGGAGTGAGTCATATCGCAAGAGCTCCTGTTAACTCGCAGCAGTGGCAATATCTCCTAACCCATCTCAGTCACCATAAAAGCAGTGTCACTGGGTTTTAACCAGTGAAGAGGGCTGGGTGACCGAGGGAAGTTGTGACTCATTGCTACTAACTTAGATTAGCAAGCTAGCCAGTGAAATGACAAGCAGGTCTTCCATGTCCTCCTCTATTACTAAACCAATTTCAGTGAAATATGAACTTGGCACAGGTAAAAGCATTTATCATACACTTAGTTTCCTCCCACACCCAAAGGTCAAGCAGCACGGTAGCTCGGTATGTCATCAACTTTGAGAGAGAGGAGTCCGAAGTTAAAGGTCCTGCGGATGACATCTCAACTATCAGCTCCAACAAGATTGAAAACGAAAAAGGTTCTATTAGTACGGAGGGCGAGATACCAGCAACTAAACCGAGAGTGACAGACCTTCAGCAGATGGTTGCCATGGCACTACAGGAAGATAAGTCACTGTCAATGGATCTTGGGACACTTCAGTTTGCTGACGGTCAGTCAATCAGATTTTCCTCTTTGTAAACTAGGGAGCCAGTTGAAAATGACCTTGCGCTGTGCATCATTGATTCCCTCTGAGGTTGCAGAGATCCAGTAAAATGAATAAATATATGTATGAATGCAACAAATGGATTTGAACAGCACATATATTTCACAAGCGTACCACATTTGTCAGCGAGCTAGAATTAACTGGCGCTTTGAGCCAAATAGACACTCAGTAGTAAACCCAGACCTGTTGCTGTGTAATGGGAAAAATAATAATAATAATAATTTATTATTTATACCCCGCCCATCTGGCTGGGTTTCCCCAGCCACTCTGGGCGGCTTCCAACTGAATATTAAAAACAATACAGCATTAGACATTAAAAACTTCTCTAAAGAGGGCTGCCTTCAGTTGTCTTTTAAAAGTAAAATAGTTGTTTATTTCCTTGACATCTGCTGGGAGGGCGTTCCACAGGGCAGGCGCCACTACCGAGAAGGCCCTCTGCCTGGTTCCCTGTAACCTTACTTCTCGCAATGAGGGAACCGCCAGAAGGCCCTCGGCGCTGGATCTCAGTGTCCGGGCTGAACGATGGGGGTGGAGATGCTCCTTCAGGTATACAGGACCGAGGCCTTGCAATGTGGACATGCTGAACAATCTGAGTTCATACTGCTCTTTCCCATTAGTTAATTTAGAGAGAAAGCTCAGTTCTCTGGATTAAGCAGCATCTTTAAAATTTAAATTCATATTGAATGACCAACCCTCCCCTCCCCAGCTCTGTAATTGTATTTGTCATGTGACATTACTCAAGTTTACAGCATAGCACCTTATATAACATTTTGCACACTTTGATCAGTAAGCATGCTTCTTGTCATTTATGCAGATTTACTGAAAAAAATCCCTTTGCATTTGTCTCATTTTGCAGAAACCATTAGGCCATCAAGTGACGTAGATAATGATATCCAATCCATGGTAACCGATGGTGTCGCTGGACTTGGGTTGGTGAGTAAATTTTCCTGCCTTTGTTCCTTAAGGTAAGATATATACCAGGAACCTAATAAAACCATTGCAAAATAAAACTTTGACTGTGAATATGAGTAGCATCCAACAGACCCAGGCTGCTATTATATCTTCTCTGTCAAATACAACTCCTTCTGCTTCATGCAATTCCCCCCCCCCCATGTGTTCACATCCTATGAAACCCTAGTGCTGGAGTGAACTTTTCAACACTGTTGTTTTTAAGGCAAAGTTTCCAACACTCAGCCTCTTGCCCTCCCGATCCCCCGCATAAACTCCTATTTGTGAACTTGTATATTTTATTCCATTGGTGGCTATTAAACTTTGTTTGCTAAACCAAAACAGAGCTCATCTGCCCTAGTTTTAAAAACTAGCAAAGGAGGGAGAGCCAAGAGGTTCCTGCCCCTCTACCATTTATCTCAGAGCAAATCTATGTCTCCCATGGTGGGAGGAGGCAACAGATATTAAAAACAAAATCTGGAGCATGCATGACTTGTGGCACCAAAAAACAAAATGTGTTTATTGCATATTGTTTATTTATTGATCATGTGAAGATGTCATATAGCAGGAGTGACCTACCTGTGACCCTCCATGTGTTGTTGGGCTCCTACTCCCATCAGGCCCCTCCAGCATGGTCAGTGATGATGGGAGGCATGGTCCAACAATATCTGGAGGGCCACAGATTAGCCACAATATCTGTGGTTTCAATGATACGTTGGATCCAGGAAAGAAGAAGGTGGCCTGTTATAGATGGAATTGACTCCTCTTGAAGGATCAGGTCTGTAGTCTGTGGGTACTCCTTGATTTGACCTTGTCACTGAAGGCCCAAGTGGTATCTGGTATGGAGTGCCTTTCTCCAGTTGGGGCTGTTTCACCAGTCATGACCATTCTTGAATAGGGAATGGCTTGGCCATAGTGATCCATGCTCTAGTAACCTCCTGTTTAGAGCACTGCAGTTCACTCTGTGTAGTATTGTCCTTGAAGATGGTCAGGAGACACCAGCCATTTAAAAAAATGCAGCGACCACAGAACTAATGGGCATGCAGTCTTTAAAGATCTGCACTGCCTGTCATATTTGTCACTGGACCTATTATAAAGTAACAGTTCAGATGTATAAAGCCTTAAACGCCTTAGGACCCAGTTACCTGAAAGATGGTGTCTTCTCCATATTGTCCTTCCTTTGATGCTGACTGTGGAGGCTCTTCTGGTACTGCCAATGTTAACTGAGAACAGTGAATATTTATTATTTATTTACAGATAGTTGCCTTGGTGATACTACCTTGTGTCGATTGCAGTAGTCATTGTATCGCCACCCTGCTCATTGTTTTAATGTTAACTGAGGCCAGGATATCTACGACCCCCTCCTATAGACAGACACACCAAGGGCCTTCTCAGCAACAGCACCCTGGGCTATAGAATATTCTCTCCCCTGAAGTCTAGCTAGCACCTACTCTGTCAGTTTTCTAGTCCCAGATGAAGGCAGTTCTCTTGCTTCAGAGTATTTTGAATATTTGTGAGAGGACAGGTGAATGTGTTAATGTTACGTTTATATATTTATATTGTTATGAGCCACTCCAGAATCATATGTGACAAGTAGTGTAATAATAAACTCTATAAATAAAAATACATACATGTGTGCGTGCACATACGTACACAGTTTTAAAATATTTTCTGGAGTGTACCTGTATACATTACACCAGAGTTTCCCAAACTTGGGTCTCCAGGTGTTTTTGGACTACAGTTCCCATCATCCCTGACTAGCTAGGGATGATGGGAGTTGTAGTCCAACAACAGCTGGAGACCCAAGTGTGGGAAACCCTGCATTACACAGAGGCAACCCCTGGTTTGCAGCGCAGTTTATAGAAACCAGAGCAAATCAAGGTTCTATAATGTACACTTAAATCATAATAGACAAGCACTTAGCAACCTTAATGTGTGAAATGGCCTTCCATGGACCACAGTTAAGTATCATAGCAATTGTTCCTCTCTTCAGGTTTTCTTCATCCTCTCTTTCTTCTCTTTGCTAGACCTCTGAAGTACCACTGGTTTATGCAAGTCCAGCAACAGTTAATGACATTGAGGATACAAACCTCATTCTAGATTACCCAATGCCCACAGTGCCTTTCAATGCCTTGGATAGTACTGGGGTTCCTCTCAGACCAGGAGATCCTGATACACCTCCTCCAGCAGATCAATCAGCCAGCAATGATTTAAGCCCAGCCTTTTCTGAGATGCCGACTGACCAGTTATTCACACCTGCAACACTTACTGCTGGTATCTTTCAGGAGGTTAGCGATGAGGAGAGTGAAGATGAGAAGATGAAAGACCAGATCCCCAGCACAGACTCAACAATCCTCCTTGATCAAGGTAAGCGATTTAGTACCTTTCCAGTACAGGAGATCCTGTGTTCATACCATGTGTTGACAGAAAGCAGATAATGGCATTATATGTAAAATGTGCATTTACTGTTGCAGAAAGGCTTGCATTTCCCCTCCAGACATATTTAATGAACTGTGCTTATAATAATGTTTAGCATGTATATACTGCATGTCAAGTGTTCAGTGGTACTCACATACATTATCTCAGTTAATATTACAACACTCTGGTAAGGTGAGCAAGAATTATCTTCCCTATACTGCAGGTGAAGGGAGTGGGAAAGCTGAGGCTGAGATAAAGCAGCCACATGTTGATGTCACACTGCACTGTAGTTTAGTGCACCATGAATGGGCCTGGCCCCCTCCAGCAAGATCTATACATGGCAAACCATTCAGATAACCCAGTCGGAAGCAGTTTAGGGCTTTAGGTAAAGGTAAAGGGACCCCTGACCATTAGGTCCAGTCGAGGCCAACTCTGGGGTTGTGGCGCTCATCTCGCTTTATTGGCCAAGGGAGCCGGCGTACAGTTTCTGGGTCATGTGGCCAGCATGACTAAGCCGCTTCTGGCGAACCAGAGCAGCCCATGGAAACGCCATTTACCTTCCCGCCGGAGCGGTACCTATTTATCTATTTGTGCTTTCAAACTGCTAGGTTGGCAAGAGCAGGGACCGAGCAACGGGAGCTCACCCCATCACGGGGATTCGAAGCGCCAACCTTCTGATCGGCAAGTCCTAGGCTCTGTGGTTTAACCCACAGTGCCACCCGTAGTAGCGTATTGGCAGCCAATGCTGTTCTTTAAAAAGCAGTGTTAAATATTTGCATTAAGCTTCCTTAGTCAGCAGCCTAAGCACTGTATTCTGCATTAGCTGCAGCTTCCGTACCAATCTTAAAGGTTGCGCCTCTTAGAATGCATCACAGTAGCCCAGTCCTGATGTTACCAAGTCAGTGTGGCATGGTTAGCGTGACACAAGAGCAGTCATACCTGCAACACCAATCAAAGGTGGTAAAAGGTGCCATTCCCACCGCCTGGGCATTCTGCACCCCCAAACTGCACACCTGCTCCTTCAGGGACAGTGCAGCATTATAAGTTGCCTGCCAGACTCGGGGCCTCCATCTTATTTGCATTTAGCTGGAGCTTATTAGCTCTCATCCCATCCGCCACTACATCCAGGCATTGATCCATCACTTTCATAACCGAGATGTGATTCAGATGTCACATAGAAATAGAAGCAGCATCACAGCTGGGGAAGGGAGGTTGGGACAGTGGGCAACCAGCAGCTGGGACCTGCCTCTTTTCAGTGTGTTATTTTCATGATCTTGATGTTCTCTGCAATTGCATTCATAGGCATGTTAATTGTCCCAAAATATAGCATCGGAAATGAAATACCTCAGCGTGGTTTGCACAAGTTAGCATTCTTTTATTCTGCAAATCATCTCTTTGGTGGTCTGCATTCTGTAGCCTTCCAGGGTATTCTGGCAGCCTGGGTCTGGAGCCTTTGCCTGAATGCACTGTAGGATTTTCAAAGTCTCAGCTGGGATCTGCAAAGCAGTTCCATTTTTCTTCTTTCACATTGCTGTCACTCTCAATTTAATGGGGCTCCAGGTTTGCTGGAATCATCATGAGGTGCATGAAAAATGCACACGCGTCACTGGGATCCTATAAATTCTCAGCATCTCAGAGCAGAGTGGCCAGTTCATGGCAGCAAGGAAGTGTTAAGATGCTGAATGTGAGGAAGCCTTTCTTGGCATACATCTGGCAGTTTGTTGGGAGTCAAGATTATCACTGTCCCTTTCAGAATAAGGTTTACGAGGGCAAGGTAAGAAACTTGGCTTCCCAGGAAGCTCATTGTTCACACAAGAGAAAGTGATCCAAGGTGTTTTCTGTTAGGGCTTGTGACAAATACTCAGACAGGCAGTGATGAAATGGAAGTTATACACTCAGGGGGTATGAAGGGATTTGCTGTAACTCATTCAGCTGATGGCAAAGTGACAGCAATTCCCAGTCTGCTTCCACGTGTGATACATTAGCTGCATTTCCCTTATCTGGCTTTCTGGTTTGCAGCAGCTAACAGGGTACTCTGAAATGCTTTCCACAGGCAACGGAGGGGGGGGGTGGGAAACTGTGCCAACAAGCTTAAACAATCATATCTTGGTTTATTAAGCTGAGATTGTCAAAGGGCTTCTGTCCCCTTTACCCAAGCCATAGTTAAATCTGGGAGCTTTTAATAAACCGTAGTTTCCCAGTTTTGGAATGTTCCAAGATAATAAACCAACTTCAGTTTGTAGTTTAGTATCCCAGATTGTTCCAAAACTAATAATCCTAGTTTCGGATGGAACAGAAAACTGGTTAGTTAGATGCCTCATTGTTTAATCATGGCTCACAACAGAGGCAGTTTAAGGGCAGAGCAACCAGTTGGGTCGCACTGGTCACCATGCTGCTTGGGGCGCCATGACGATGCTGTAGAATGGAGCATGAGAGGCGGGGTGGGCACTGGATTTTATCAGCGCACAGGGTGCCACTGAAATTTGAGAGCTCCAAGTCTGCCATTGCTCGCAACAAAGGGGCAACAGGTTCGTGTATATCTTTAAGCTGACGTATGATCGTTCAAATGTCATATTGTATGCCTCTGCACTGTGGACCTTAAAAGGAATGCGTAACCTCTCTTCTGTCGATTTGAAACTGACCATGTTTTGTGTTGAAATTGCTTTGATGATTACCGATGGTGAGTTTAGCCGACACCTGCAGCAATCTGTTTGCTGACATCGTAAAGACTAAAACTGCACAGTCCAAATGATAGAGTGTATCGTGGCTTTTTCCACTTTATTGGCAGGGGCTGCCACTTGGCATGAGCTGTTGGAGCACCTGCATATACCTATAGCACCAATCATTCCACCATCTTCTCTCCTTCGTGTGGCGTTTTGTTACAAAATGAAGCTGCGTTCTCTGGGCAGCTCAGTGTGTTGTAGGCACGCTTCTACATGAACTAACTGGGGGGAAATACTTGAAAACAAAGAGCTGTTTAAATAAGGGAAACTATCAGTTCTCATTTGATTTCCAAGTACATGGAGGCAGTTTATTCATGCAAAGGGGCCCATCTCAGTGCTTACAGAATGTTGAACAGATCAAAACAAATATGGTTTTCTTTCAGACATCGTGGACACAGCCTGCAGGCAAATGCAGCTTTCGTCTCCATCTCATTAGTTTGTAGACGTTGTCACAAATCTGTCTCATGTTCCAGATTGCTGGATTTTAGACAAATCCTTTGTTTGTTTTTTAGTGGGCTGACAGGTATTAGTGCTTTTCGTTCCTTAACCAAAGTAGCAGAAGGGAATTATTCATTTCAGAAATGATTTGAAACAAACATTATGCTAAATAACTTGCTCCTATTCCCATGAACTGATGGGAAGTAATTTTCTCAGCAACAGATTCCAGCTAGAGATGCCCCTTTGGTTCCTCCAAACTTCATATTTTGATCTTATTTTTTTTAAAAAAAAATTATAATGACTAAAGTGGGCCCAAGATGGAGCAGACACTTAAGCTGAATACACTGGCATAGCCATGATGGTGTGATTTTTACCTTATGAAAACTATTCCACCTCTAGGGACCTAGTGTTATTTGCTGAGACAAAGGGCAATATTGTCATCCATTCTAAATAAATACAAGGGAAGGTAAACAGTGCAGGACAACAGAATCCAGTGCTCAGATTATGTGGAAAGAAGATAAAGTCACAGGGCATTTGAACATCGTGGGCCCCCCAAAAATGCATTTTGCGGGCTAGAGTGCATGAGGTTATCACCCAAAATGGCCACCGCAATCTCCTGCAAAAACAACAACCCCAAGTTGTCCCATTTTTACCAGGGCCCTTGGCAGGTATGTGAAGTACATTCATGCTTAAGTTACCACTGGAGAAGTGTGCCACTGTTTGCGGGTGTAAGTGCGAAAGCGTCCGAAATGACATGAGACACAGGACCTTTTAAAAATTCTTTTGGATGAGCAAGCCTTGTCAGGTAAGAACTCTGATTTCATTATCTTTACTTTTAGTTCTTACAAATTCTGTTTGATCACAAACTGACAAAGTCATTGTTAACGTTTTCATCAGGAGCACCATCCACTGTCTGCCAATATCATTTCCTGCTATAGATGTGTTGAGAATGATCTGGCTGAAGTCAGTGCTTTGAAGATAGAAAAAGTAAGTCCAGGTATGTACCTTTTATGAGAATTACATGAAGTTTTGATGAATATAAGGCTTTCTGTTTCCACATCCAAATGGATAGATAATAGACAGATAGATAGATATAGATAATGATATTTTGTGTGTGTGTGCTGCTTTAAGGTTAGAAAGCTTTTCAGCCCTGGGAGTTGAAACTCCGAAAGCAATATTAGATTGTATGTGTAATGGTTATTTTTGGGGTTTGGGAGAAGCAACATGCAATTTCATCAGCAGCACAGGGTATTGTAATAAAGACACTGATCTTGATGTTTTCAGACAGCTCATATTTCTATGTTCAAACATCCATATTTTTTGTCAGTTGTTTTTTTTAAGTCAGTCATTATTCTGTAGTTATTGTTTTCTGCAGAAGGACTGCTGTACAGATACATTTCAGGAATACGTTCACAACTTTCAGGTTAGATATAAACTTTCCTTCAATAACACATTGCTGCTTTCATCTTCATCCAAGATTCAGCCCAGCTATTTTCCCGAAAAGCACTGTGCAGTTCTATGCATGCTTACTTGGAATTTAGTCCTGCTGAGTTCAGTGAGGCTTCTTATTGCCAAGTAAGTATGCAGACAATTGCAGCAGCATCATGATTGACTATAGGCCAAAGTTGCACATTTTCTTCCACACAAATTGCTTTTTAAAATGTTCATTCAAAGGAACTCTGGTTCAGGATGTCCCCAACATGTGAAAGGGTGGGAGAAACAATTGGAATTTCAAATCAAGATCCTTCATAGCCAGTCATCCTTTATAGGTTATGCCTTAAATCCAAC